AGGAATGGTGCCCAACCACTTGGACTGCAAACGCCAAACTCGTTAAAGGTATCTCCTTTAACGTGTACTGTCCTACTGGACATCATCTGATTGTCCCTTTCCTCATTATCTTGCATTTATTTCGGTTATTTTCATGAGGCCAGTTCACAGACGAGCTCTGTAAGTTGTTTAAATATTCCTGGGACGTTCTTCTGTTTTCATCCTCTGTTCTAAATGCCGTATTTACATTACCGTAGCATTGTGATCATCTGTGGGTCTTGTGGCGCAGTGGTAAGCGTAGTGGCCACAACTTCATGGGTTCTAAACTTACCGTCAATGGAGCCAAGAGCAACATCTCATGAGCTTCATGGATGCTAAACTTGCCACCAAAGAAGAAACCAGCATTAGGAGCCAGAGCATAAAGTCTGCAGACATCAAACACGCCATCCAGTACACGAGACAACAATTCCATATTATTCCTGCCATCTTGCGAAATTAATGCTTCATAAATATTAATTGTAACATAATCCTTCATGTCTCTCATCTCGCTGACCTCGTGTGTCTCACCTTCGTTTAACTGTTCTCATCCATTTCCCTGTCTTCTCGTTTATACGTTTATAAACGTTAGCCCCGAGTATCTTAGATTGAACAAAGTTTTACAGGTTAAACTTCGTCTATAAAGACAACTATCGTCTTGGGGTTTCACTACACTATTGGTAGCACTTTGTAATCTTTACTAGCAAGGTCTGCGTCAGTTACACTGCTGTACAGTAATGGGTCTCCAGCCTCGCATCTTTCTTGCCCAATGGCAATAACGCTTGCAGTTTTCCGGCAGTCGGGCAACTCTCCCAGCAAAAGGGTGTTCTTGGTCATCATTGTCCGTTGCTCACGTAACTCTGCAGCTTCTTATTGTACCCATTGTAAGGCGATGAGTCACAATAATGTGGCTAAAGTATGTTGACCAGACCACACACTAGAAGGTGAAGGGACGACGACGTTTCGGTCCGTCCTGGACCATTTTCAAGTCGATTGTGTGGACCATTCTCAAGTCGACAATCGACTTGAGAATGGTCCAGGACGGACCGAAACGTCGTCGTCCCTTCACCTTCTAGTGTGTGGTCTGGTCAACATACCCATTGTGAGATTTGTTTCAGTCACTTTGTCCTTTTTAGTTCACCGACTCGAACCGTCGTCTAGTATGCTATTTAATCTCTGGTGTGGCCATTGTGCCTCTGTCATGACTAGGAGTTATTCTGGCTTTTTCTTAATGTTTTCTTTTGAGTCCGTGTGTATGTGAGAGAGAGAGAGAGAGATATACCAGTTCTTGGGCCTGAATGTCATCATTCAGTGTAATTCAGAACAAACAACAGGCAAGTCCGTGTTTTTCCTGTCATAAACCTGGAGCAGATACTGCCGACGCGAGCAAGCCCGACATTCAACTCTTAATGTCAACGGGAAAAAGTGCATGAAAACCCCTCATCATATGCCAGGATGGCGCCACACTTGCCCGTCCGTCCACATTTCTCAAGATATTAGCGAGGAGTGAGGCGGCGGCTGGCTGCTTGAACAACAACGCGTGAGACAAAGAAATCCTAAAGTTGTTAAGTCAGTGGTTCTCTTAATTTGCCATTTATGGGAGGTAATTGGTGACTAATGGAGTGTGTGTGTGTGTGTGTGGGGGGGGGAGGTATGTTTGACCTTGATTTTCCTCCAGTGTTTGTTTTGCTGTTATACTCATTCTTGTTTTGTTTTTGCGTGTCAGGTAAACATTGGGAGGTCGGGGAAGGTATACCGTGAGATTATCGTGAGGAAGAGGTCGGAGAAAAGACATTATTATCCGGTGTATAACAATTGTGACAACGTCGATTGTGATGAGGAGTTGTTGTTGTTAAAGATTTAGCTACTCAGGACGAAGTGTCCATGTAGCACGGGCTATGGTGAGCCCGTAAGGAGGTAGATGCAGGTAATAAATAGGCAAGAGCGGTGAGGAGCAAAGTAAGGCGTAGTAGAGGGGATAGTAGTAGGAATAAGAACGTCGTCGTCCCTTCACCTTCTAGTGTGTGGTCTGGTCAACATAATTTAGCCTCGTTATTGTGACTCATCGCCTGCAATTGTGACAACGTTTGTGTGGTTCAACATGAAGGAATGTTGCAGTGTGCTGGAGCAATAGTTGCAAGGGCGGTATTATCAACAGTCGTCATAGTACAGGTTGCAACGACTGCAAGGTGGTGGTCGTGGTGGTGATGGTGGTGGTGGGGGGGGGGGCACTAAATCAAAATACTCGAGATGGAAAAAGGTCAGCAACCCGTTCTAATTACATCTATATACGTTGTAAATACAAGCTTAACTTTTCTCTGGTGGTTAAAATACGAACGTCGGAAATGTGTACGTTATCGTACTAATGATCATCGACGTCGTTAGGGTAGGTGGATTAATGTAGGATCGTAGCCTAATAGTTTACCAAGTGGAGTGAGCAGGTTGGTGATGTTAATGGCAATTATGCAATTATGATAATAGTGTCGGTAACATTAGTAGTAATAGTAATTCACCAGAGATAATTTCACCTATGCCCAAAGAGAGAGAGAGAGAAAACATGTATATATTATGTTAACGTCAGAACGTTATATATATAATTATCCCGCTTTTGAAGTGTCGACAAATTGTGTGTAGTGTTAAGGGGGCATATCATTCTAAATCGTTATAAATTAAAAGTTGTTCAATTTGCTTATAAAAATTTTTCTGAAATGGTTATAGAAAGGGCTGCAACTGGTCCAAGTTTCACCATCACACCCTAAACAGAAAAGGAGAAAAAAAATACACAACGTATTATGCAACGAATGTTCAACATTCTCAAATAATCTCAGGGAACACATGTGTTAACTAAAATGTCTACTATGTGCTGTAGAAGCACAAACTCTTGTAATAATTGTAATATGTATGTGCAATATATTTATATTTAATTTTTTTTTTCTTTTGTTTTTTGGCCAATATTTTTTTCTCGTTTGTTATCAAGGGATTTGCATGAAACTTGCACACCTTGCTCAATGGTTGCCTATCTGCAAGGGTGCCAATTATGAACGAAATCTGTTGAAGTCAAGCTCAGCTACAGGTGGCCGAACTTGGATCTTTATTTTACTCTGGAAAGTAATTTACACCTTCAAATTACTTCAGAGCTTTCATTTATTAATCAATTTACATGCAAATTACACCTTATATGTAGCGTTTGTGCTTCTACAGAATCTAGTAGACATTTCAGTCCAAAGTCTATTTGTTGATTTTATAAAAATTTATAAATATCATATATTGCATATTTTTTTAGAAGGGTATCTTTGAAAAATTATATTATTGCACTAAACACTTTTTTTGATACAACTGATCACTAGAATCCTTTATTATGTGCTCAATTTAATATCTGAGTGTTATAGAAATGATTTTAGTTGACACATGTGTTCCCTGAAACTATTTGAAAAATCGTTGCATAATTCGTTGTTTATTTTTTTCTCCTTTTCTGTTTAGGGTGTGATGATGAAACTTAGACCAGCTGCAGCCCTTTCTATAACCATTTCATAAAAGAATTTATAAGCAAATTGAACCACTCTTAATTTTACATTGATATGCCCCCTTAAAAGAGAAAGACGTTATCAAGAGAGAGAGAGAGAGATAAAGACATTATCAATGTCTGCCATGATGTGCCTTCTTGGAAATAATATAAATGGCGACCCCCAACCGTAGACTTGCTGGGAAGACTTGCCTAGAGATGGAACCAAAAAAATGATTAATACCACGATTAAATGCGAGAAATGTGTAACTAGGGTATTCATAAATATGGAAATATTCAACAACTGTATTTGACCGGGAATTTCCCAACTGGATAGTTTTCAATAGAAAATATCTTCTTAATGTGCTGGTAGACATTGAATAAGTAAGGAAAGGTTAATATTGAGAAAGCCTAGTTAGAATGTGCAAAAAACGGAGTGTATATAAGCGCTAATTATCAAGCTAAAACAAATTTCAAGACAGGAATTATCAGTACTCTTTGAGTACCGAGTGTATATTTAGTACTCATTGTATAGTAGACAAATATTAGGATGAGCTTGTGGTGCCTGAAGTGTGGCTCCCGGTGTCTGGGTACACCTTTACTCTCTCTCTCACTCTCTCCGGTTCCTGGCTACAAACAAGCAGTAATTCCTGCCTAATTACATTGGAGCAGCGTCGAAACTAGCGACGTTTTTGAGGACATAACAGGAGGTCTTTGTTTTAGTTGACAGCACACACTAGGAGGCAGAGGTTGGACAAGCAAAATAGCCACACGGTCAATGGCAGCCTAGTCAGCGGTAACGAGGCTCCAGTTGCATCATTGCCTTTTAAAATGACAATTATTTGATAAATTTGAATAATAGCACAATGCAGAAGTTTAGAGCAATTAATGGAAGTGTGTGCAACACGCTTGCACCAAACTCAAACAAATGGTCGTTAACATTGACCGTAGAAATAAACATTTACCTGTTGATCAATCTAAATAATTTATGACAGTCTATGGAGCTGTTGGAAAGCGTGTAACGGTCTGGAGAATCATTGACTACAGAACAAATCCACAAGGGCCGTGACGAGGATTCGAACCTACGTCCGAGATCATCCCGCTATTGATACATCACGCTATTGTGATTTCTGTGTGTAATTGACTACAGACATTAGGCCATGGTACCCGTGCGGGTAAGATCAGTCGGTCTAGCAGTAACACTTTTACATGTCTGCTGCCTCCACCACTACCTACTGAAAGGCTAGGCTACCGGAAGACTGCAGGTTCTATCCTATTTGACAAAGGGACAGTAACAAGCTTTGTACAGTGTTATCATAATCCCCGGGTATGTGGGAAGGGCTGGGGAGGAACGAGGGGGTTGTGGTTGAAAGCGTGTCCGCCAGCTACGGGAGTAAGTTGGTGGGTGTGACGTGGGAGGAGACGTGAGCGGGGGATGCCGGGGACCTGCTGTGGAGCCTCCCGCAGTAGTGGTGCCGTACGCGAGGTGGCCGGGAGGGAGACAGGCGGTGACGGCAGCCCGCTTCTCTCTCACTCACACACCCCCCCCACACGGGTCGTCCACCTTACATACCCGCGCTTTATAGTGTCGGGTAGTGGTCGTACCCGCTCGCTGTCGCGGAGCTGCTCGATTGGCAGCCCTGGGAACGACGCTCTGGGAGATACACCATTGTACAGTGCATTTGGCCGGGGAAATTCTATGTATGTGAAGGAATACAGAAGTGTTTGTGTACAGTGATCTCGTTGTTCAGACGTGTGTGGAAAGTTTGTGACACGCGAATCCATTTGTTAAAGCCAGTTTGAGTGAGCAGCAAACGAAGACGTTACGTTACGTGTTAGAAGAATTAACTGGAAAAAGGTAGGTGCTGATAAACTTTATATTATTTCTTGATAAGCTCTTATTTGATGTGATATTTATATGTTTAATCTGAATTAATCATAACATATTAACCCCACACCGTAAAAGAATGTCACCACCTCGTTTTTCAAGTGTCGACAAACTGAAGTGTTAAACACAATTAGACAGAAAACTTATCATCCACGTAAATTGAATCTTTTTAACTCCTAATTTTTACAAAAAGAAACTTAGGCCATATGACCTTCCTCTATAGCAATTGCTTGTGGTGTTGCAACACATCGCCGTCTGAATTACTGCAAGCTACATTGCCCTTGAGTGTTAAGGGCTGCTAAGTGGTTGATCTTACCGAAGTGTTGCTCCCGGACCGTTATCTTGGTGAGGGAAGCACCCTATCTGAGGCTGCATACTTCCCGACCTGGAAGAGGTGCCCTAAACAATTGAGGTTTCGTACAGGAAACAAGATATTGGTTCCTTGTTCAAATAAGTACCGCACGACAAGGTGTACTGTTGGTTTCCTTTTACCACTAACAACGCCACTGACCATCAATGCCACTAAATATGGTTATTTAATTGTTTGTATGTGATATATATATATATATATAATATGTCGTACCTAGTAGCCAGAATGCACTTCTCAGCCTACTATATAAGGCCCGATTTGCCTAATAAGCCAAGTTTTCCTGAATTAATATATTTTCTCAATTTTTTTTCTTATGAACTGATAAAGCTACCCATTTCATTATGTATGAGGTCAATTTTTTTTATTAGAGTTAAAATTAACGAAGATATATGACCGAACCTAACCAACCCTACCTAACCTATCTTTATAGGTTAGGTTAGGTTAGGCAGCCGAAAAAGTTAGGTTAGGTTAGGTAATCGAAAAACAATTAATTCATGAAAACTTGGCTTATTAGGCAAATCGGGCTTTGCATAGTAGGCTGAGAAGTGCGTTCTGGCTACTAGGTACGACATATATATATATATATATATATATATATATATATATATATATATATATATATATATATATATATATATATATATATATATATATATATACACACAGTCAGTCAGTCTGGTGTTGACAAAGGCTTTAACAAGCCGAAACGTTCACCTCATTTCATATTTCTCTGTGGATTTTCCGCATAAAATGATCAGTGTTTTGTGATCGTCAATTGCATATATATATATATGTATATATATATGCATATATATATATGTATATATATATATTAGTATATTTTGGTAGCAGTCTTTCCTGTAGACATATATTATTAAATATGACCGAAAAAGTAAGATTAATAATTCTAACACGAATTTTCTCAATCTTTCGTACATTATGCTTCACTGTTGGAGGTAAATCAAAAATCACTTCTCCAAAATTCATTTTTATTTCTAGTCTGACGCGACACGGGCGCGTTTCGTAAAACTTATTACATTTTCAAAGACTTCACAAATACACAACTGATTAGAACTTGCGTTTCCCTGATTTTATATCTACATTTGAGTGAGGTGGGAAGGGTGATGTGGCATTACATTTGAGTGAGGTGGGAAGGATGATGTGGCATTAACACAAGACAGAACACTAGAGGATATTAATAGGGTATTAAAAGTATCAACACAAGACAGAACAGAAACAATGGGTATTGAATAGAAGTGTTTGTAGAAAGCCTATTGGTCCATATTTCTTGATGCTTCTATATTGGAGCGGAGTCTTGAGGTGGGTAGAATATAGTTGTGCAATAATTGGCTGTTGATTGCTGGTGTTGACTTCTTGATGTGTGGTGCCTCGCAAACGTCAAGCCGCCTGCTATCGCTGTATCTATCGATGATTTCTGTGTTGTTTACTAGGATTTCTCTGGCGATGGTTTGGTTATGGGAAGAGATTATATGTTCCTTAATGGAGCCCTGTTGTTTATGCATCGTTAAACGCCTAGAAAGAGATGTTGTTGTCTTGCCTATATACTGGGTTTTTTGGAGCTTACAGTCCCCAAGTGGGCATTTGAAGGCATAGACGACGTTAGTCTCTTTTAAAGCGTTCTGTTTCGTGTCTGGAGAGTTTCTCATGAGTAGGCTGGCCGTTTTTCTGGTTTTATAGTAAATCGTCAGTTGTATCCTCTGATTTTTGTCTGTAGGGATAACGTTTCTATTAACAATATCTTTCAGGACCCTTTCCTCTGTTATATGAGCTGTGGAAAAGAAGTTCCTGTAAAATAGTCTAATAGGGGGTATAGGTGTTGTGTTAGTTGTCTCTTCGGAGGTTGCATGGCTTTTCACTTTCCTTCTTATGATGTCTTCGATGAAACCATTGGAGAAGCCGTTATTGACTAGAACCTGCCTTACCCTACAGAGTTCTTCGTCGACTTGCTTCCATTCTGAGCTGTGGCTGAGAGCACGGTCGACGTATGCGTTAACAACACTCCTCTTGTACCTGTCAGGGCAGTCGCTGTTGGCATTTAGGCACATTCCTATGTTTGTTTCCTTTGTGTAGACTGCACAACAGTGAACCTTTTACCTCCAACAGTGAAGCGTAATGTACGAAAGATTGAGAAAATTCGTGTTAGAATTATTAATCTTACTTTTTCGGTCATATTTAATAATATATATATATATATATATATATATATATATATATATATATATATATATATATATATATATATATATATATATATATTATTAAATATGACCGAAAAAGTAAGATTAATAATTCTAACACGAATTTTCTCAATCTTTCGTACATTACGCTTCACTGTTGGAGGTAAATCAAAAATCAATTCTCCAAAATTCATTTTTATTTCTAGTCTGACGCGACACGGGCGCGTTTCGTAAAACTTATTACATTTTCAAAGACTTTAGTTCACAAATACACAACTGAATAGAACTTACGTATCTCCGATTTTATATCTACATTTGAGTGAGGTGGAAGGGGTGATGTGGCATTAACACAAGACAGAACAAAATGTGGTATTAATAGGGTATTAATTTCATCAACACAAGACAGAACAAGAGTATTAATAGGGTATTAATTTCATCAACACAAGACAGAACACGAAACAATGGATATTGAATAGAAGTGTTTGTAGAAAGCCTATTGGTCCATATTTCTTGATGCTTCTATATTGGAGCGGAGTCTTGAGGTGGGTAGAATATATATATATATATATATATAATATATATATGTATATATAATGTATATATATGTGTATAAAAGGGGTGGTAGGAGAAGCGAACACTCATACATATTCAGAGTTAAATAACAAGTTTTTCTCTGAATGCTCTGTGTTCCGTTCTTTGAGGCTGTGGGTCCCTATAATTGCACCAGAGGTGGTACCCCCCTATATATATATCATCACGTGTTAATTTTCGTGATTTACACACACACACACACATATATGTGTGTGTGTGTGTGAATTTATGGTAACCAGTTGGGTATTGTTTATGGAATACTTACGGGGTAAAAGCGACAGATAGTGTTTAATGATCATCATAATTTGTTAGGCACAATCAATGCTATTTTCAAAATGTTGATAACATTCTCTTCATCCATTTGTGGTCGCTCTTGAGTTTTCCTAACATACGTTACATTAACAACTTTCCTGCAAATGCAGAATGTACTTTTACATCACACTGTAAATTTGCAATTTTATCAGGTTGTATTGAGTTAGTGTATCGTTAGCTTTTGGATAGATTTCAGTGTGCCGCTGAACAGGTTTCATACACAATCTGTTGCATCCAAACCTTTGTTATTATGTCTGGAAGCATAGTCCCAGAGTGGCTGAAATGTTGATGAGTAAATATTTGAAGTTTTGATCCACTGAACCGCCAAACTTTGCCCTTATAGGTCACGTAATATAGAAACTTGAGCATTGGACTAGCTGTGAACTTCAACAGGCAGGTGATTATATCCTAGATATTGGTTACATTCTCTACATTCCGTTCTCAAGAATTGCATTAAATTGTCGGTAGGTTATGCCCATAGGTATTGATATGTTACCTAAGTGGGGGTATGTTACGTTTAAACGCATATTATCGTAATTTACAAAGAAGAGATATTATCAGTGCATCTCTATGGTGAGACTTCTGTAGCCTGCTGATATGGATGACAGGTGACGGTGGCTCAAGGGGCAGGTGATGGTGCCTCAAAGAGCAGGTGACGGTGGCTCAAGGGGCAGGTGATGGTGCCTCAAAGAGCAGGTGACGGTGGCTCAAGGAGCAGGTGACAGTGGCTCAAGGAGCAGGTGACGGTGGCTCAAGGAGCAGGTGACGGTGGCTCAAGGAGCAGGTGACGGTGGGTCAAGGGGCAGGTAACGGTGGCTCAAGGGGCAGGTGACGGTGGCTCAAGGAGCAGGTGACAGTAGCTCAAGGGGCAGGTGACGGTGGCTGAGGGGGGGAGAAGCCTGGTTAAGTGTATCTGACCTTCGGTAAACACACAAATGTTGATGGGAATAGTTGCGAGGCTTCATATCGTCAGCCATGCAAGGCTTCTATGAACTGCCCGTCCTCGCATACAAAGATCCAAGTTCGTTAATCCAGCCGCCAAACTCCCTGTTTATGAATGAAAAGCGATTTATACACGACTGTCAACTGATGACGTCCGAACACTATTGGAACAATTGCTTCGCTCACGTCCTCTGTTCGAACCACAATTTTATAAATGCTTCACCCACGTACTTCAAATACAAATAATCGCCAACAGAACCTAAACACCTAACCTAACCTAAGGCTAACTATACATCGAATTTTTATGTATAATAATATTAATTTATATATGAGAACAAACCAAATTTTAATACACAGTTTGTTAAAATTGATGAATGCGTCTGGAGAGGACGGCCGCTGCTTTAAACAGCCAAGTGTGAGGGGTTGGGGAGGACGGCCGCTGCTTTAAACAGCCTAGTGTGAGGACGGCCGCTGCTTTAAATAGCCTAGTGTGAGGGGTTGGGGAGGACGGCCGCTGCTTTAAACAGCCTAGTGTGAGGACGGGTTGGGGAGGACGG